GTTATGGGCAGGTTACAATATAAAAATGTTTGTCATAATCATGTCTTGTGATTATTTGACAGGAGTTTTACTTGTAAACTGTAAGTGTATTTAATTTAGTTATGTTAGTTATGATAGTTTAGTTAAGATGTAAATACAACAAAAATTAAACCAAGATTTAGAATAATCATCATGTTGATTCATACATTGGTAACGTCTGACTGGGCCTCGTGTCACTTTATGTTCAACAAATTGGGCCCCGAAGTCAAAAAGGTTAAGAACCCCCTGATTTAGATTATGTCAAAACAGAATTTTTTTTTACAGGAGCTGTCAGCTTTAAGGTTAAATAGAAAAGTACAAAAAAATAAAAAAAATAAAAACAAGGCTTTCACCATCAGCATAAAAAAATACTTTTGACAAACTTACTCTATCAATAGACAGCGAGACGGGACGATTCTTGCATAGATCCAAGCAGAAGATTTCAATCAGTCTGAAGCCCTGCTCATACAGGCGTCGGTTGTACAGGGCGCAAGTTAAGTTGCTCAACGCAATCGCTATAACACACAACGAAGAAGAGTTATTACTGTTAAATATTATATATCGATATTTATCTACAGTACAGACCAAATGTTTGGACACACCTTCTCATTCAAAGAGTTTTCTTTATTTTCATGACTATGAAAGTTGTAGATTCACACTGAAGACAGGTGTGCCCTGTCAGGTTTAATAAGTGGGATTTCTTGCCTTATAAATGGGGTTAGGACCATCAGTTGTGTTGTGCAGATGGTGGATACAGTGCACAGCTGATTGTCTTACTGAACAGACTGTTAGAATTTGTATTATGGTAAGAAAAAAAAAGCAGCTAAGTTAAGAAAAACAAGTGGCCATCATTACTTTAAGAAATGAAGGTCAGTCAGTCCAAAAAATTGGGAAAAATTTGAAAGTGTCCCCAAGTGCAGTCGCAAAATCCATCAAGCGCTACAAAGAAACTGGTCTGTACTGTATATTTTAATTGTGAAAGCTTTAATGTTGCTGGCGGATATTATTCAGATACATTGTGGTCACCTGATTTGTTGAGCAAACTTTCATTAGATGACTTGTGAAGTTCTGACATCAACAACCCAGTTGTGGCCTGGCAGTAGAGCAGAACTCTGTCCATCGTCTCACTGTTCTCCAGCTGAGAACCAAAAAATACCACTAATATTTAAAACCAGTTCTTATCTGTAAGGTAGGGACATTTTGTAGCAGTGAGCTCTGTTCGTTTAAATTTTTTTTTTTTTCAGAATTAAGAAAAATGCACTCTCCAGATTCATACTCACYTGTGATGCAAGCATGCTTTCATAAGCAAATACAAAACCTTGGTAAATACAATGGCAAAGGGTCTGCTGCAGCCAACTGCACTCAGTCTGGGATGCTGAATTCTGTGAGGGGAAAAAGTATGTAATTTTTTGTGTTTCGGGTCAACAAGCAAAAACAAAACAAAAAAATAATAATAAAGGTTTAGGTCACACTAACCTTGTTCTGCATTTTTATTGTCCATTCTTGATACTCCTCWAGAAACGAAAACAGAGCCAGGAGTTCTAGTCCACTCACTCCCTTTGTGTGTCCATTTTCAACAGCCCACAGCACTAAACTACAGCCTTCAAGAACTGAGTGAGCTTCCCTGTAACCCAAATCAGCTGAGATGAACCTCAAAGTCCGAGCACATTCTGTCAAAGCCGGACCAGTCTCTTTGTCAGCCTTTAATGCTGCGTGGATTTTCACTCCCCATTTGCCTAGCACCAGCGGTATACACTGAGAACCACCACAGTCCAGGATCTTGTTCTCCATTCCATTCAAGAAGGTGAGGGCTAAACTGTAAAGACCAGCCTTACAAACGGCCTTCACGGCAAGCAGCACCATTTCCAAAAACACAGAAAAGCCTGAGGTTTCCAGATGCTGCTTGAAGCTCATCCCTTTGCGGTTTTGCTCACTAGAAAAACACATTTTAAAGTGAGTTTGTAATTCCTGGAGAAGAAAAGAAGCATCCTCCTTTGTCATTGTCCCACAACCATTTTCAAATTCAGTGATGGCATCCTCTGTACATATTAGAGCTTTAGAAAAATTGGGACCTGCAGTTTCTGTGTCCAATAACAAGAGGAAGCTCAAWGCCTGTATCTGGTAGTGCAGTTTGTCCCGAGGATTCAGTATTTTTTTGTCTTTGGTAGAAGACAGTCCACTCCAAAGCACAACGAAGCTGCTCCGTACAAGAACAAAGTAATCCTCTTGAGCCTACAGATATTAAAACATGTTAAACCTCCCAAAAAATAAAAAAATAAAATGAAATAAAAACAGCACACTTGTTGAATACATTGTTGATAACATACCTGCTGCACTGTTGAAAGCCTGCTGTAAAGCAACACAGCAACATGGCTGCAAAGAGTGTGAACATCTAGGGTGCTTAGCTTCTTGACGATGTGGAAAAGTATCTTTTCCATGTATAATGGACTGCTCTGAGCCACAAGGTCTGTGGAAAGATCATAGCCACGAASAGAAAGCTCAATCAGCTTGACTAAAGCACTAATGTGATCATGAGGACAGGATCCAGCTCCAAGCTGATGGTTACAGGCTCTGATAATCCTGTCACACAATGTGCGGATTTGGAGTCCAGGTTTACTTTTGACATAACTCTGAAAAAATAAAAACAAACAGACGTCATTTTCAATGAACAGATTTGTTTGTGCAAACAAAGTATGTCAAGCACAGTCAATAGTCATTAAAACAGTTAACGATATTTAAAGACAATTAAATTCAGGTACTGTCCAGCAACATGTTATTGTTATTCATGTCATTATGCTAACCTTCAAGTCTTCATATAATAGTCCCGTCTCTTCTACAGAAGCGACCCGCTTAATGTATTCGTCCAACTTCAAACACTTCATGTCKACACCTGAAAAAGATACTTTAGTTAAATGAGGTCAAACTTTTACTTCAACAAAAGCGGCTAAACTCGGGCCTCGCTCGCTCGGCTGTGAGATACTCAGTCGCCGCGCGGTTATTACCCGGATATTTAAACTAATAGTTAACAAGAACAACACTTGATGAAACCATTAACAACAACTCACATAAAGCGCTCAATGTTCTACTGAAAATACTTACTTTACAGCGGAAAAAATGGATGCATGCTGTTCAAAATAGTCACTGCCGATGGCTTGTGTCCCGACAGCACCGCGCGCACCGTTTTGAAACTGTTTTTAAAATCTCCACTAACCAATCCAGATCCACTTCCGCAAAACGCAAAGGCTTTTGGGTGTTGTAGTTTTCAACTACATAAACAAGCCGTCTCTATCGGATGATGAGCTACTATTTAAAAGATTTGAATCGCACCAGAATTCTTTAAATTTGTAAAATTTAACTTACACGTAGCTATTCTTTCATAGTGCTAGCTCTTAAATTTAGCATTTAAAGGAAACGTTTTACATCCTCATAAAAAATTTCGATTGACCACCACAATTTCCTTCATTGCATCTGAGAAATGACAAGCACTACTTGGAAACTAAAGTAAAATGTTTGCACATTGATTCTTAAATAGCCCTATGTGCAGTTTATTACAAAAAAAAAGAAGAGGGATTGCACGGAAGCTGAGAGCTGCCATTTTCCACTTATGATTATTTTCCATCGTTTTCTCGTCATAACAACATAATACGTCGATATCTCGAAATAATGACCGTTTTCTCGTGATAACGACATTTTGCCTTTTTTTGTGTGCAGATGCATGAAAAACAGGCACAGCTCAAAGGACATAAATTTGTTTTTGTGTATCTTAGCTTATATGTCAGAGTACAGAAGCTGAGAGTGGCCATTTTCAGCATATATWTTTTTTCCATTGTTTTCTCGTKAYASCAAGATTATATGTCGTTATCACAAAATAACAAGGACCWTTTTCTCGAGATAGTGAGTTAAGGTTTTCTTGTGCATGATTCAGTGACCATGAAGACAGCCCAACCCCCTCAGCTGTTCACTAAAAGACTTTATTAAATCACTGTGTAAACGCTTGCTGATCTGCAGTCGGGCCAGACGTCTCCAGACGAGGGCTGATATGAAAGTTATCTGTACAAGACACACAATCGCAATTTCAGTCTGTGTAATGATACACATGGAAAAAAAATTATATGCCGAAAATGGCCGCCTTCGKCTTCTGTAGTTAGGAGAAAGGCTAGAGGAGAAAAAAGTTGCCAAGTCCAAGAAAATAAAACTGAGAAAATGTTTTGAGAACTATTGATCTGGACCATTTGATATACAGATTGCAAGAATACTGAAAGTAAGGCTCAAGAAAAATTAAGTTTGCTATTTGCCTTTTCTTGCTCTTTAAGTATTATACTGTAAAATATAAAACTTTTCATTAATCAACAATATGAACTGGAAAAGTCTAGAACCACAACCCCTGACGATGGAACAAAATCTGATGAGTTTTAGTGAATCAATACATTTTTTTATTATCTCACAGCACAGCAAAGGTATTTTTTCGGGAAAAAAAATGTGAAGTTTGACATATTGTAAGACTATTTTTTTGCATTTCTTTATTTATATTGCACAAAGTTTACAAAGTGCTTTAAAGGAAGACAAGAAAGCTCAAGTGCAGTGATCACACAGAAGGAACTAAGCCCCTCTTCTTGATGACATGTTCCATCGCAGCCTTCTCTGAGGTGTCCAGGTTGATCTTGTATTTGGCCAGGATCTTCAAGATGGGCCTTAACCTCATCCACCACTCGATYTTTGGAATACGGTGTCTGGAGATGACAACATTCATCAGTCAACAAGGGTAATGTGAAAACAAAAAGAGAATAATCTGGTAAAATGATAAAAGGCATTTTGTTTTTTGTTTATGTGAAGTGAATTATCTGTAGCTGACAGATATCATGGGTTGCAGTTAGAGGGTGGTAATATTAAACATTTTACAAAAACCAATGCAGAAATCCTTAAAATAGTAATAAAATTTTTAAATACTGTATGAACCAAGACTTTGGGGGTGACAAGAGCACAACACTGTGAAAMCAACATGTTACTTTGTGCAACCTTCAGCCTTGGCTTTAAACTRAAACTTTCTTAATCCATCAATTTTATGTATCTCAAATCTATAATAAATTGTATGGACTCAACTAAAAGAAACAACATTTTATGTAGTTATAGTTGTTAGTGTTCTGTGTTGATGTCAATGAAGGCAGTGAAAGTGTTCAAATGAAGTCTCACTCAAAATCTGTCTCATTTTTAAGTTCTGCCAAAGGCTGGAACACCAGAGATCGTTTCCTCATTCCCAGGACACAAGCTGAATCTTTAGAGTTGGCAAAGATGCGACCTGAACGTTTGATTTGAAGCAGAGCATATATCAGCACGAAGGCAAAGAAAATTAGAAAAGCAAATGTTGTATTTTATGTTTTGAGTGGCTTCAGGTTCTCACCATGCCTGTAGCATTCTTTCAGCTTGTCAGTCAGCCAAAGAATAGACTTCATCCCCATCTTTGTTCCAAAGTTCCTGTCAAAAGGACTGGGAGTCCCACCCTATCAAGTAAAATTAGATTTACTGACATTTCAATCTAAAAGGTTGGCCAAAAAAATGGTGAATGGTGGAACAAACAGAAGAAAAGCACCTGCTGCATATGACCAAGGACGTTTTTTCTGCAGTCGAACACACCCTTGCCTTCTTCTGAATACAGGTTGAAGATAAAGTCAGTGGTGTAGTTTGCATTGCATTTCTCATTTCTAAAACAAAAACACAACAACAGATGAGACAGGAACCTTAAATTAACAATTTGACGATAAAGGGGGTTCATAGAAATTCCATCAAACCTCAGAATGAGTCCCCTCTTCACTGTAGTTTTCATCTTCTCCACCAAATGTTCCACATTCAACTACATACAAATCAACAAGTTTAAAAAACTTCCTAATGGATGTTTCCCTTCATCTCATTTATCTATTCATAAGAAGACACACAGACTCACCTCGAGGTCATGAATGTTGAATGGCTCCTCATAAATGTAGGCAGCATCAGCTCCRGATGCTAACCCAGCCATGGTTGCCAGGTAGCCACAGTATCCTCCCATGGTCTCAACAATGAACACCCTTCTCTTAGTGCCAGCAGCAGATTGCTTGATCCTGTCACATGTCTGCAAAAAGCAAACRCAGGGCGATTGGATTAACAACCAAGAAAAATAACTGATTATTTTCAGATTAGTCAGTGAGAAGTTTACYGTGGTTATGGTGTTGAGGGCAGTGTCAGTGCCAATACTGAAGTCTGATCCTGGAACATTGTTGGAGACAGTAGCAGGGATAACAACAAGAGGAACACATAGTTCCTCATACTTTTCTCTTCCTTGCACCATTTCTAACCCTCCCAGGAATGCCTGTTTGAGAGAAAACAATAAAAAATCATTACTGGTATTAAAGAAGACATATCATGCTTATAAATCCTTTGTTTTTTTTTCTTAATTTAAATAAAATTAAATCAAATGTAATTATTTTATATAAAAAATGTTATGCCAGCTTGATTCTGTAGTTTCCAACTGAGCAATGGATGTCAAATGTAAAAGTGCTATGCATTATCATCATTGACTGTTCCCAYGCAAAGTTGAAGTTGGGAATTTTGGTGTCTTGCTCAAGTACACCACGGCATGGGGCATGGCGGGGAATCAAACTTGGAATTTTCTTGTCCCAAGTCGACTGCTCTTCCACTGCACCACAGCTGCCTCTAACACAAAGTTAGAGTAACTTTGTGTTTGGATGAATTTCTATCATTCAGATMTGGTCATTTGTAGCATGGTCCTTGCCTTCCTAYGCAGTTCTGCWCAATTCTAGTTKCCATGCTCCRTCYAGGATTTCTCCCACAGACAAGGATTTCTTCAGRATTTCATCCGGGCCAATCAGCAAACAGAAGGCRGAGTTTTGAACAACGTCGATTTTCTGCGCAGYRTCTGCTAGTTAGTTYAGCAATGACAGTGGAGGAATGAATGAAGCCAGTCCGTGYTGATAAGGCTTCCAAATTAAATTAAATTTGTCTGACAAACCAGCAGCTCTCATTTACAGTCGTCTCTTTCGGCTYGGTACTTCTCTCCTCTCAGTAGRGTTGATTACAGYRCTCGMRAWTTCTGGTTAGCTTCTTAGCTTAGCCTCCTTCACAGTGGAGCTGGTGTACACATACATCACGGCCAACTGATCCAATCATTTTAAACTTCAACAGAGGCCACGCCTCCAGCAAGAATCGCTCCTCTATAGCCGAGAGTCCAGACCCTCGTACAAAGCAAAGTGAACAACAAGGGTCTGGTTTTTACCAGGCTAGGTTATTTGGGTTATCCTGCCAAATCTTCCTCCACCCAGTGTATTTTGTTTTCTTATTAGAATCATCAAACCATTTATTGAAAATAAAAGGATASAACATATTGATCAACCAATCTTTTTTTCCAGTGGGCCTTTTCTTTGAACTTCTCTCTATGGCTCCRAACACATAACGTAGGTTAATGAAAACCTGTATTCAGGCAGCGATGGTCCAGTTGGGATAATAAGCTTTATCACTGAAATGAATAAACATAAAACTGCCACCAACATAATCAAAGTGAAGAACTGCTTACCTCAAAGCCTCCAATGATGACAAGAGCATGAATGTTGAACTTGGTGATGTTTAGACTGATCTCTTCCATGAATTCACTGGGCAGTGTTCTTTAAAACAAATTGAGGAAACATCAWGGATAATACAGTATAATTAAAGTTCATATTAAAATAGTTTATTCATGCAAATCAGTGAATATTCAGTTGTCGGTACTACAGTGAGAYGGTTCACCTCTTTGTGCCCAGCATGGATCCTCCTTTTCCAGTCCATCCTGCCACTCCAGACCAGCCAATAGGCTCGATCTGTGCGGGAAGAAGGCATGTATAGAAGATGTAGCACCATTTTAATTAGTTAGTAAAAGCCCAAACAATACTGATACACTGATTATCCAAGTGTAAATACATTACCATTCCATGTGCCAAGCCATCAAAGCCGTCATGCACTGCCAGCATGTGGTGGCCCTGAAGGAGCCCAGTCCTCACAGCTGCACGTACTGCAGCGTTCATTCCTGCGCATGGAGCACCCACGTTCAGTATGGCGATGTTGATATTACTCTGGTAAAGACAAATTCACAAAGATAACTCTCAAATCAATGAAAAGAGAGAGGTTGCTTTGATTTAACACAATAATAATCTGGTTCCTGACCTTTGTTTCTGGGGGGTGCACATGAGCCAACATTTTATAAGTGTTCCAGTTGTTCTCAAAGCTCCTGTTGGCCAAAAAAAWTGAGCAGACATTTGAAACCAATCACTGTGCATGAGATTTTTAAAATCAAACACAAAGGTGCATCCCTCACTTTCCCCTGAGGTTTATAGCCTCATCGTAACGTCCCTCAGCCATGGCTGTCGTGACGTCTTTAGTCTGGATGGAGTTGAACAAATATCAATAGTTATATGAAACGTTTAAGATGACTGGTGCTCATATCTGGGAAGTGCATACTTATTGTTAAAGTCACATTCATCCATTTGTTTTTTCATGCATGTTGACTTACAACTTGCACACACTCCATGAGAGGGAGCCTGACAGCCATGTTTCCAGACAAGCTGACCACACAGGCAGGGGTCTCTGGTGTTGCCTCGAGCAGAGCCATGACTGCCTCCACACCCATTCTGCTGGCCTGAACCACACCAATGAGAAGAGTCAGAGGGATGCTCAGAAAAGCAGACTATTAAAAGCAGATCTGTTAAATGGTTTAAAGTGTTTATTGAGGTATTACCAAGATTCTGTCAAAAGCAGAGGGGGTTCCTCCTCTCTGTACGTGACCCAGGACGGTGGCTCGAGTGTCAAAGCCTAGTTTCTTTGCTACCAGCTGGAAAGATGCACAGTCGATGAGCAATCRGCTGTATCAGTGACCGTACCACAATGAACTGTGGAAATACTGAGGTACTGACCTGTTTGACATAGTCACAGGTAATTGGTTTACCTTTGCGGTCAATCGCTCCCTCTGCAACAATGATAATATTCAGTCGGGAGCCACGGCCTCTTTGCTAAAGAGGAGCAGGATAAAAAATCAAAATGAAGCCATAGCCAATGCAATTTTAATCGCGCAGAGTAAGACTTTTACATCTGTCAGTCTTCTACACAGATGCTGCTCCCATTCTTCATCTGGGGGCATCTCTGGGATGAACACCCAATCGGCACCACAGGCAAGAGCTGTTACCAAGGCAAGGTAACTGTAGATGAATGGTCAGGATCATTATTTACAAAATGGACAAGAAATACATTGATTAACATTATCCAGACACACTTTTCAACTCTATACCACAATCAAGTAACTATGTTACCTTCAGTTGTTATGAAAATGCTGTATATAGCAAAAATAAATTTGACTTTGCATCATAGTCTCTTTAAGAATCTCGTTCCCAGCACTCCCACTTCAGCATGTCTTCACAACAATGCTTCAATGGAGGGGTGCTCTGTGGAGTGAGAGTTCGGCTGCAGAATGAGGGAGGGGCTTCGTACAAATAGGCGGTGCTTTATACCAGCAAGTGTTTGATGAGGGAATGACATTAGAAGATGATATAAGCCTCAAAATAGTCGATTTTTTGCAAAAATATCCCCTTTAAATGACTCCATTTGTTGTATCCCAGAAGTGGGAAGACAACACATTTTTATGATGCAGCTATAAATTCACTTTTGCTATGTTTTTTTCCACACTGYTCCACAAAATATACTTACCCACAATGCCTGCCCATTACTTCCAAAATGAAGGTCCTTTGGTGACTGCAGAAGGAAAGATATTTGATCAAGTGTCTTAAAATTTGTAGTCTGTTTTTATCTTCAGGGTACAGTGTCCTGTACCTCTGTGCTGTGGTTGTGATGGCGTCCACTATTTCTATGATGCGATGCAGAGCGCTGTCAGTGCCGATGGTCATGTCCGTTCCACAAAAGTCGTTATCAATGGAGCCCACCATGCCAACAATATTGAGGTGGGAGGAATTCTTGGCTTCATTTGATGTAATTTTTCCTGAGCACAGATTCAAGATTGAGGCAAGTTCTGTGTGAATACAAGCTGTGTTGGACTTTTTTTAAGGTTAATTCTCACCAGCTTTGATCAGGTCTGCCAAGAGGTCTTTCCACTCTGTTCTGAACTGGTTGGCACCAGTGAGACTGCCATCACCTCCAATAACACACAGGTTGGTGATGCCCAGCTTGACCAARTTACAGGCAGCCTTGGTGCGCCCCTCTTTGGTGCGGAAGTCCTGACAKCGAGCGCTGCCAATCACAGTTCCACCCTGATATAAAGCAAGGAGGAAATATTTCAGCATCAAACAAGAATGACAAGGAAGCCAGGAAGGAGACGGGGTGAGATAATTTTAAACTGAGGCTCTCATGTTCAAGATCCATAAAGTCTTGTTATTAAATGAACCTTGACATTCAACTGACTGTCTGACCTACAGTGCTGAACCGAACACAGAAAACATTATGCCAGGGCTATTCAACTAAATTGCTCCAGGGGCTACAGTTACTGCAGGCCAACAGCTGAGGGGCCTGACATCCAGCAATTAAAGTTATTATGTAAATAAACCAAGTATTACAAAGATCTGTTACATTTGAAATAGTTAATTTTGCTGCATTTAAACGTGAATTCAACATACAGAACCCTATAAAAGTAGTGATAATGAAACATTATCAAAAACAAAAAGAACACATTATGTCTCCTATTTGACACAAATAATATTTTGACATCTCTGACTTGCCAAATTTTTAAAACAATTATTTTCACTTTCATCATTTCATCTTTAATTGCTTGTAGTTTTAACTGTCTTGAGTGTTTATATAAATTGTTTTTACCAGCTTCTACCCAAGATTCTGACATTTCTGTAGATACCAAACATGTCTATGTTTAAGTAAAAGAACTTAAAGTAGTTAAAGTAGAAAACCGGGGGTTTGGGCTTAAGAGATGAATGAACCAACTGGCGGGCCGAACTTTGGTCACCCGCGGGGGCCGCCAGTTGAATAGCCCTGCATTACGCTGTGATTTCAGGTCAAAGATAGTCTTGTTCTCACCAACTGCAGCATCATCGACACACTCTCCCAAGTCGCAGGACGGATATGATCTCCCCCATCCACCAGACCCTGGTAACCCTGTTAACATGCAACACAGTGAAACTCAATCCCACCTCCTAGAAAAGAGGTCATTGCTGGGAAGAAGGTCAAGACGTAACGATAAAGGCATTTATTTACTCTGACAGGGGCAGCTGTTTCAGTCCAACAAATGTTTTTTTTCCTTTTAATGAAACTTGGCGTTTCAATGCGGCTTATGGTGTTTTGTTAATCTGAAGTAAATCTTGTGATTAATTAATTGCTGCAAAATTTTTCAAGCAAAAACAAAGTTACACATTCTCATTTAGAAGCATTTGTTGCTGTTTAGAATGAAGACTTCAGAAGTTTAAAATAACAAAAAATGCAAACTATTTTCTTTAGAATTTTTGTACTTGTTTTAACACATTTTCTGTGGAAATGCAGCGTGACTGTAGAGTGAGTGACTATGGTAAAATATGCTGAAGAAGCTGAAATTGCATTGCTGAAAGCAGAAGCAGAACAGAAGCTGAATACTGAAAGTAGCAAAATGCTAACTTACTGTAAAGCTAGCAAAATGCTAGCTAAAATAGTAAAGTTTTAAGCTAAAAGTACACAAAAAGTTAACATATTATCAAAAGTAGCAAAAGCCTTACTAAACTAAAAGTAGCAAAAGGCTAGGAGATAAAAAAAAAAAGTATCTAAGAAGACAGAGCAAGTACAAAACAGCTAATTTAAAAATTACAATATTTTTAAAAGAACTGTAAAGATTGCCATGTATTTGTTTGAGAAAATACTTGTAAATAAAATTTAATAATTAAAAAATAGGCTATCRGTATCACCCATCTCTTTGAAATATAAATGGCTAAAACAATATGTAGAAGGGGTAGAAATGTACTGTATAAAAAACAAACAAGAAAACTGTGTGAATTCAGGTGATGGGTAATTTGATGTTTGGATTTTAAATCAGTATTTACACAAATAAAAACAGTTTTTACCTCATGAACAAAGTACACCTTAGCTCCCGTGTACAGCCCGACCCGAACTGTCGCTCTCACAGCTGCATTCATACCTGTTGGAGGAGTGCACAAATATCAGCTCATGTGAACTTTTAAGTTTGAAAATTTCCATTATTCACAATATTTTTGACTAATTCAAATTCTAAGAAGTTTTAATTTAGAAATTCTTTGAATCAATTTACCCTGCTCTTAAAAGAAAATTGACCAAAATACGTATCTCCCTTTTTATGTTTAGATGTAAATCTGTGCAATTTTATTTTTAATGATAATTCAGATATTTTGAAGTGACGTTATATGGACGATTAAGAACACATACTATTTTATCTGTAGCTCTTAGAACAGCTGCAGTTTGGAGAAACAGCTTCAATCTGAACGGATTAATGAGTCAGTCGTAGTGGGACTAAAACCAAAAACTGAAACAGCTTCGTAACATTTTCACAGAACTCCACTTCAAAAGATCTGTACTATTCTTTTAGTTCAGTCTGATAACTTGAAAGAGCTAATCTGATAGCCTTTGAGCCATAAATACTCTTGAAGACGAGCTGCATCAGTGGTCTCCAAATCATCTGAACAATTTCAGGAATAAYATCGATTTTACGTGAACTTGTTAAAGTAACTGATACCAGATCAGAGCAGCAGGAACCACAACACAGACCGCGTTGGCAGGCACGTGTTTCCTGAAATGTGTGTGTGTGTGTGTGTGTGTGGTGGGGTATGAGGGGGGGGTCACTTAAAGGACAAGCTGTAGATAGGTTTACTTTCAGGGGTACCAGGGACATCTCCACTTACAGTACGAAGTAAAAAAAGAGAGGACAAGAAGGAACAGTCAGAGGACCTCCTCGACRTACTCACTAATTTACACATACACCACAGAAAGGTCATGCCTCTAAAATTAGTCATCATTACTGATAAGTCCTAGAGAGAAACAAGAAGAGGAAGGAGGAACATCTTTACAGAAAAAAACATTTGGACTGCTAATAAAGAAAGGTAAGGAATAGCTTTGCATGTTTAGGTTTTATAAATGTTAGAAAACTAAAGGTAGGTTGCTTCACCTCTCACACTTCAGAGGTGTGGGGTCACTGGCACACCTTTCAAAAGGTCACTGTGGACATGTTCTTCATCAAGTTAAAGGTCAGAGGACTGTCTGCCTGACTCTTTTCATGTTTCCTTTTTTTATATACATTGGCTCTTTGATGGCTGAGTGAAATCACAAGGAATGATTGGCTTTAATTCTGAACAATTACATTTATTATAAAAGGTCAAATAAGTTTAGTTTTGACTRTATTGATGTAGTTGGCATTTCTGCTTTTACAAAAAATGGTGTCAGCTCTGCTCATTTATTCTTTAAAGTTCAGCAAGATGTCATGATTGTAGACACCATTTAGCAAAACTGTATTAAAYAAAGTTAAATGTGAACAGCATTTGAGACTGAGCTGACAAACACTGACTTTTYAAAGAGTTTGAGTGTAACCTGACAAATTTCTGATTTACAACACATCCTCTAAACGCCCTGCCTGAGCACTACAATCCTCCAGCACCTATCTGCAAATCCTGCACTTACCCTGGGCATCGCCCCCAGAAGTCAGCACGGCAATTGCCCGACCCACGCCCATCTTGGTGGGGTCGACGGGAGTCTGTTGAGCCATGGTCCTGGAGCTGAAGCTGTCTGACAGAAAGAGGCCGTGAGTGCTGCTGTACAGTGTGGAGCACAAGGTGCCTCTACAGTAACATAAGCTGCCTGTTATGGAAAGTCGGCGCAGTTGCAAAAGTGCCCAGCTTAACTGCGCTATTGGCAGACATGGAGGTACACATAGTTGTGACACATTTAGACACACACAAGTAGGCAGTGCCTAATAAAATTATTCAACACTATATTATATTTGAAAACAAAGTTATTATTAGCTTAGGTTAGAATCAAACAGGAGAATTGTCTTGAAAACAAATTCAGTTTACAGTTTGTGTGGAAATACTGAGAAATATAAATAAGATWAGTCTAGAATTTTCTAAAAAGCCAGAAAATGTACTTTATTCCCAGATTAAACTTYGCTTGATGGATAAAACAGCTTTTCCTCCTGGATTTCTTTGTATTTAGACACATTACTGTTCAATAGCTGTGTTATTCTTTAATAATAAACTTGAATATAAATGTAATTTAACAGCTTTTTTTATTACAAGAAATATCATTAATCAGCCAATGGATTTTAAAGAACCTTCTGTTAAAGCTCTTGATTACAAATGGATGATTATTTTTCAAGGACCCCAAATACTGATGGTACACGTGATGAGATTCACATTTTTTAGAGAAATAAGGCCCTTTTCTTGATTTAACTGTAACATTATTATTTATTTAAGATGCTGCATGTCCTCCCTTTTAACCCTCTATGGCATGGTATTGGCCTCAGGCAACGAACCACTATTTTGGCCCTCACACATTCCCTTTAAATTTTCTTTAAGTAAAAATTCACGTTAAAAGTCTGATGACAAGTTTGTGACCAATGAAATTTGAGTTTGGAGAACGTGTGACATTTTGTCTGGGGTTGAAACCTTTAGAGGGACCATAGCTGGCTTGGACACACTGATATCAGAAGRYGATACAAATGTAACTTTTTAGCATGTTTACATTTAAATAATTTTGTTCAAAAAATACTGTGATGTGCAGAAATATGTGCAGAAAYGTATTTGATTGAGGAAATATATTTTTTGCTTTTATTTATACACAGGAATGGTACTTTTACATTCGTTGCCCCAGGGCAACATTGTGCAGTTAGATCTCTATTGTTTGACCAATAATATGCTAATGGATGTAGTTTAGCAGAAAAACATAATCTTTTTTTGCTGTATTATCCATTATTACTCAGAAAATGGAATCAAAAAACATTTTATGGGTGCAAGAAACTTGATCATGCAGTTAGGCTCATTCAGCGAGAATGGTGAGCTTGAGACTGACAGGAAGAGTGGACCCCAGAATAAGAGTTGAAGGAAAGTTTGAAGATCAAGGTTCAGTCAGTCAGTCAGTG